GACAACAATTGTGAAAGTCTTTTTTTAAATTGACATTCAGCAATTAACTGTCATAGGTATACCATCAAATCTCGAACGGATTTTACATCCAAGTCACAAAGGTACCTATACGTTTTATTGCATCTTTGTCTATGTTTAAACAAAAAATGGACTATATATTCTGCATCTACGATTTTTATCTCTGAACATGGCGTCATTATGATGTCTTAATGTACAGGATATACATTTTAACAGGTTACTTGCCTAAAAGGTTTTGGATGGGTTTATCTGACGCTAACAAAGACGTGAACTGGAAATGGATAGATGGCATCACCTTCTACTCCTCAGTTTGGCATAAAATTGTTATCAATAGTTAATCCACAAACTATCCTGGTGAAAGTGAGATTGCCGACTGTAAAAGGATTAATTTTAGAAACAACTTTTTCGATGATGGTTACTGTAAAGGCAATAAGCCTTTTGTGTGTAAACGACCACAGTTACTATAAGTTACATTGACAATTTAGAGTGTATACGGTTAAGGAAGTTAATTTGAAAATCATTTGAAAGAGACAGATTTGGAACGAAATGTACAGATACAGACATTCTCAACATAACTAACATATACTCAACAACAAAGAGAAAGCTTAAGATGTTTCCTTGGCGAATACATGTAAATGAGTGAAAACAAAATGACGTTTGTGCAATATTAGAGAATGGTAATGTTTTACATTACAAAATCCAAGGGGGTTACTTAAATCATTCAAGCGTGAAAGTCTGTATTAGCGAAAGAGCTGCACGAGGTCTTCTGCGACTAACTTGTAATAAACATTTAAACTGACAACTGTTTCTTAGATCATTAGTACTTAGAAATCACCGAATCTTGCTAGCTATCAACTTTATCATTATGCCCCGGCTGTCACAAGTTCAGAGAGAAAGGGCTGTAGGCATGATCCAGGCTGGGGAGTCTCGCCGTCGAGTTGCACGGCATTTTGGTTGCAGTGTTAAGACAATTTGCCAGTTGGTAAGTCGTTTAAACAAAACTGGGTCAACATCCGATCGTCCCCGAAGCGGCCGACCCCGTTAAACGACCGCCAGGGATGACCGTCGTATACGATTGATACACTTGCGCAATCGATTCGTAACCGCACTAGAGACTACAAGGACATTGTTTGGGCATCGTGTGTCTTCCCAAACAGTCCGCAACAGGTTGAAGGCCTACCAATTGAAAGCGCGGCGTCCCTACACTGGACCTAATTTGTTGCGACGTCACCGTAATAATCAGCGTAACTGGACCCGTGTTCACCGTCGTTGGGCCTTACGACAATGGAACAATGTTCTGTTTTCAGATGAGTCCAGGTTTTGTCTGCAACACGGTGACGGAAGGCACAGAGTGTGGAGGCGACGAGGGGAGCGTTTTGCGAACTGCTGCGTCGCAGAACGGGACCGCTATGGCGGCGGAAGTGTAATGGTTTGGGGTGGTATTTGTGGGGGAACTCGTACCAGGCTTGTGTTAAATGGCAATTTAACCGGCATTCGATATCGGGACGAAATTTTAAGACCAGTGGTTCTGCCATTCTTAAGACGCCATGGCGTTGGCGCCATTTTTCAACAGGATAACGCACCAGCGCACATCAGTCGCGTCAGCAGAATAATAACTTACAGGTGTTAGATTGGCCATCTAAATCACCTGATTTGTCACCGATTGAGCATGTCTGGGACGTTCTTGGGCGACGCGTGAGAGAACGTCAAAATCAGCCGTCAGGAGCTGGCCCAAGCCTTGATCGTTGAATGTAACAACATCACTCCTCGAATTATCCGCTGGTTTACGAGTTCCATGCGACGACGCTGCAATGCTGTTTAATTCGCAAACGGTGGTCATACCCGTTACTAATGGTGTTACCTTTGAAATTGACCCCAACGTCCTTTACAGTCGAATAAAATCAACTAAACGCAAAGTTTGATAATGAACCATGACTGCAGTTTTATCAGAATTGATCAATTACTTTATTCGTACATGATTGGTGGGGATTTATGAAGGGTTAATTAATCACAGAATAAAGTAGTGTTACCTTTTTTTTGTTTAGTTTTTAAAACGCATGAAGACGTGCATGTGTTTGAGCTAATTTCCTGAAAATAGAATACAGCATTGAAAGTAGAGAACAAGTACACCATAATTGTTGTTGGATATCTGTTTTGATCTATCACTACATTGGTGTATGTGTACTGATCCATCCCTCTTTAATTGCCTTCAATTCATTTTCTGTTGGTAGGTCCAGTTCTACGCGAATGGGTCTTTCAGGGATCTCTTCGATGACACTTAGGTCTATTGATGAAGTCCTGCTGTTGAGAATCTGCTCAAAGTGTTCTGACCATCTCTTATTAATAGCCTTTTTATCGGTGAGGGGCTCGCCTTGTATGTTGCACATTGGGGCTGCACTTCGTTCTGTTGGCACATATACTTTTTTCAGCCTTGAGTAAAAGAGCTTTGCATTCTTTGAGTCAGCATACACCCGGACTTCCTCTGCTTTTCTTTTCCACCATTCGTCTTCATGCAGCGCATTTGTCTCTGAACTTTTCCATTGAGAGAGTGAAACCTGTCCCTTTTCGCGTCTATTATTTTGTCAGCAAGCCAGGCTGTGTGTGCAGAATACTTCTCAACAAGGAGTCCATGAATGTCCGTGCCATTGTCATAAAACCAGTCCTGGTGATGTTTATTCAGGACATCTATAGTCTCCTTGGAGCGGAGTCAACTTCATTTCTAAGCTTGGCCCAGTTTTCTTCTGTTTTACCTTTGCAGAAAGATACTTGTTAAAGGCGTTTTAAGAGGTCACTTTGTAAGGTTAATAGAGCGTCTGGATGTTTAGTTTGCCTTCTTTTTCTTCGAATCTGAAAGCTCACTTTGGATTGAGATGTAGATTGTCTGTTGAGCAGTCAGCACCGCTCATGGCTCCTGTGATATGAAAGTCACGGATGTCATAGTGCCTGCATATGATGAAGTCTAGCTGATACCAATGCTTATATCTCGAATGCATCCATGTGGTCTTGTATGCATCTTTGAGTTTGAAGAAGGTGTTTGTGATCGAGAAACTATGCTGGGAGCAGAGAGACAACAGGAGTCTTCCATTAGAGCTCTCCTGTCCAATGCCATGCATGGTGACCAATGATTCCTGTCCAAGCAGTATGATATGACAACAATTCTTGAATTGAAATCGCCCAGTATGACTAATTTGTCGGAAGTACAACCTCATCCAGCTGTTTTGTCCAGGATTTGTCATTGTGGGTGTATAAACACTTATCGAAGTAGCGTTTGTGTTGTCTTGCAAAGGAAGTCTCATTGTCATTACAGCAAAATCAACTACGCTTTCCTTACACTTTTGCAACCTGACCAAAAATTGTATAACCAGACCCAACTTCGCTTAACTCTTTGTCTAAAAACCTTGTTTCACAATGTCCACGTTGTTTTGTTTGAGCTCTCTTGTGAATAAGGCGGTCCTTCTCTCTGGTTAGTTGGCTTCCTTTCTATCCAAAAGAGTGAGTACATTCCAAGCGGCAAGTGTTCCGATCCTTGTCCGTTGACGGTAGCTTGCCCGAACCCAGGGATTCTTCGCAACTTCTGCTCCTTTCCCTGTCTGGCCGCTACCTTGAACAGTGGGTCCAGAGTCGCTGTAGACTGAGGGCCGTTGAATGTGTTTGGTGCTAGGTGACATGCGCAAAATTAATTTACAGTTGTTTGCGGGGAGCAACAGCAATTCTCTCCACCTGCAATATTTGGTTATCATTATCTTTATGTGGAATACATCTTGTATTGTTACATTACATAACGCAATGTGTTTTATTTGAAATTAAAACATTCGATGTGAAGCCATGTCTATTATGATCATGTTATTTTCACTTCGATTTGTTAAATGATAAAACTATCAAATATTTACACTCAAAATTTGGATAAAATGGCACATTTCCGGTTAAAAAATACATGCTCATTAGGGAAAGAAAATACAAAAAATGGGATAGATTGTAATTCTGCTAAACTACCTTTTGACATTGTGCACACAAAGTGTTAGACAATGTATGGAAATTATGCCAGTCCAGGACAAAATTCGTGGTAATACTGTTCGGATGTTTAAATGTGTATTCAAGCAACGGTTTTTGCAACAGGAAACTTTCAAAAGCTTCATTTGAAAATATTGAAATGTATCTTTATCCCTTCCTCATTTTACATGCGATATGTTACCGCCACCTGCTGAACCTCATAATGTAAATCGAACAACTCGTGAGGATGAAACATAAATCGAACGGATTCTCAAGAGAAAGTGTTTTATGTGTTATACTGGAACTCGTTCATTCCTCGTTTTTGCTCTACTGAATGATAAAGCCATTCTGCCATTATATATTGGCATTACTTTTTGTACTTGTTGTGACGTCATGATATTGGTAAGTGTCGAAAAAATGAAAGAATATAAAAACTGTATTCTGCTGTTTCATATAATTGCTATGTTCACCTGTGTACAATTGGTAAAAATCTTGACACAACAGGAAATCGTATTACAATCAGAGAAATTGGCAACTTGTGAAGAATGATATTTGATGACGTTCTATAAAGACGTATTTAGGTAATGTTGAAACTTTTGTTTCAAAGATATATCTGCGATAACCATATCAAATTTATTTCCGGGTAGACGAACCACACGACTGGATTACTTGCATGAGGTTTTCTACACCTCCGCTAGAATTCATTTTGAAAATACAAGCGTAGACTAGCAGAGGAAAATGTTACCAAGATAGGGACATGTAATCCAGTAGAAATACAGGAATTCTATACTTAACACTTGCAGAAAGGAAGAAGAATGACTTAAGCCTGACCCAACAACTCCAGTTACGCCGGTGAATTGGTATTGAAAAATATTATTCACATATGTGCTTTTTTAATAATCCTTGACATCGTTCCACAAAAAACATTTTAATGATATGCTGTCTTGTGCTAATCAGAACATTTTTTTTACATATGTAGAATGACAGCAAACATGGTATCTTTAATGAAGACTGAAGTTTGGAGTGAACAGAACATCCTGACTCCAGCACAGGTGTGTGGTGACGTCCTCAAAGAACTAGATGATGTATCCCAAGTAGAGTGTGCTCTATACTGTTTGGGACAAGTGATCATGTGCTTCATGTTTGAATTCAATTACATGACAAATGTTTGTCGTCTCTTCTCTGGTATAGCTAATCCAAACGGGACACACTTGTTACCATGGACACCTTTTGTGGCATACAAAGGACTTTCAAGTGAGTATAATATAGACAACCCTTTTCAAAACCAGAATATCTATCATTTGCAAATAATTCAGTGGAAAGTATATAAAAACAATCGAAAATATACCAACCGAAACAGACACACAAACATATATCACTTTCGGTACACGCAAATATATATATTTGTTAATAATTTCTTTGGAGAAGAACGCTATTTGGGCTGCAATATACCATCATCTTAAAAGATTGTTCATCGTAATAGAAAGATTAAAATAAATTATCAGATCAATTTGGCGTCCGTACGTTTTCTTCACGGTGTATGAAATATAAAAATTCACCTTCTTTCAATTGGTCCCTGTTGATAACAAAAATATTCTTTTTAATCTAAACATCATCTTTGTTATTCTTTACACAGATTGTGAACGAGCTGGATATACATACGTGACGGGGGACGAAGGCCTTTGCTTTAAGTTATTTGAGACAGAGTTGCCATGGTTCGACGCTCGGATTAAATGTGAAGAGGAGAAGGGTAGACTTCTGGTACTGAAGACCTCCAGACATGTTGATACTATCATGAGTTATTCAGGTAATATGAAACTTCAAGCTATCTCACAAGCAACCTTCATTTAAAATTTATACTAATCAATTCAGAATTTGACATATATGTTTATTGCTTTCTGAACATGTAAACAACAGTGGTATTCTGACATGACTTCCGAATTTTATCTTAGATTCCAATAGAAGATAAGAACATGATAATAATCTTTATTTTTTTTATAAATTAATGGTTTATTTAACACATGGTCCATCAAAATTATTTAATGAAGGGTGATTCCATTTGATGAAAATTATTGGGAAGTTTTCATTTGAAAACGTGACATTACTTACTTTGCTTGACAAAGTTTACATGGCGGGTATCGTTGATGAAGCAGAAGACGCTTACTCTTCAGTAACACCTGATCTTATTTTCCTTGTACCTTTTCTGTGTCTCCGTATAAATATTTCCTTTGCTTACATTTTGTCCTAGTTTTATGGAATTTAAGTTTGAATTGTTATGTTGCCTTGTTGGTATTTTCGTGATTTTTATAGCAAATAGAGATGATAGTGAAAACGACGACTATCAGCGGTAACTTAGTTGACATTAATGTAACGTACGGTGTGTAACAACTGGTTCAAAGAGGTAATAGTTTCGACAGGTCATTTTGACTTCTTGTCTAGACCAACTACATCAGTTCCTTACATAATGTAATTAGGCGTATATTTTATGTAATATCACCTTTTCTTTTAACACATACACACCTTTCTTACATTGGTAATATGTCTTGGCTTGCTTCGCCCGCCTCATCAGTTCTCTCTTCACAAACCTGTTTTCAATGACCAGATGAAATTAATGCTTTAACTCATAGATCTGTCTACCTGATGTATCCATAACATTAATACCATTGTTAATCATTCTGTCCATTTCACGTCAGCAACGTTACCATGATCGTTGTTAATCAATAATCAATACTTACCGTTAATGTAAAGGACAACAATTGCAAATGTCTTATTTAAAGTTGACATTCAGCAATTACTGTCATACTAATATCATCAAATCTCGAACGGATTTTACAAAGCTTACAAAGGTACCTGTATGTTTTCTTGCATCTTTGTTTATGATTTAAACAAAAACAATGGACTACATATTATGCATCTACGATTTTGATCTCTGAACATTATGATGTCTGGGTGTACAAGATTTACATTTTTACAGGTTACTTGCCTTCATCGTTTTGGATTGGATTATCTGACCCTAACAAAGATGGGAACTGGAAATGGATAGATGGCACCGCCTTCAACTCCTCAGTTTGGCATAATATTTTGATAGATGGCCAGGCAGGAAACTATCCTGGTGAACATGACACAGCCGACTGTATCAGGATTAAATGGTCAACACAATATCTTCATGACGTTAACTGTAAAGGCGTGGATCGTTTTGTGTGCGAACGACCACAGTTACTATAAGTTATATCAACAATATAGAGGTTAGACACTTCATGTTTGTGCCACTTCTTAACTAAGTACGATATCTTTAGTTATAGTTAGTCAAAGGCTTCCCAGGTTTTCATTTGGTTTTGAGATCTTTGTTAAACCAATAATCAAATAACATAGAGAATTAAATATAAGGTGCGACTTTATACAGAACGGGAGATAAACTGTCTTTCTCTGTACCATTGAAAGTATGAATACCGCTAGTTTGTCAGATTATTTTATGTTGGTTTTGATGTAATGTAGAATGGGTTTTCTTGGTCACTATAAATTAACGATGTTACAAAGACCTCGCTTGTAAAGTAAAATGTGGTCTTATATCATAGGTCAACCAATCGAAATTGTTACAGTTCAGTGATGACCAATCGAAGACATTGAAAGTAGTTACGAACACTAATACTAAGAAACCTTGTGGGATAAACTATTGTTTAAATTCATCTAGCAAATAATGTGTATTTTTCACGTAGCTCTTAATTTGTTAAAATTTATTTACTTTCATTTTTTTCTTGTTATATTACCATATTTATCATATAAGAAAATATGCTTAAACGTAGGACTGGAATTTCTGCTAATAGTACTAAGGATAAGATGTTATATCGGTTTGCATTTTAATTGTTAAGCATTTATTATCTATGGATTAATTTGTAATGTCGACAAATTCCGTTTTAGGGTAATCTTGACTTTTTCAATTTAATTGTAATGAAATAAAATGGGCTTTTTGTGGAATGTGTAATAATTGGTAAACCGAAAGGCCACGCTGATATATTTTTAGCACGTATGTGAAGCTGCTGTGTTCGGTAAGGCTAATGGGGATGAATATAAAGCTGATCGGTTTATGCCAAATCATTAATTTTGTAAGAAAATTGTTAAAAATACTCTGTACTCTAGATTACATGGTCAAAGAACACATTGTGATGATACTGCAAGTATAAAAGCTGTTAGTCGAGGATAACCATAACGTCTATAATTTGTTGTCTTTACTCTTTGAATGATTTGTGGTATGATATACAAGGAATCTTCAACTAAAAATATTATGCCAAGCTGAATATCTTGCTGTATATTCGTATGTAAAATATCTTTTACCTTTGCTATTTTGTCTTCAAGTTATATGTGTGATGAATATTTGAGTACATTGGAAAGTGTCGAAGTTAGCTTTCAAGAATTGCACTATATGAGAGTTTACTTTTCTGCTATATTTAGTTCAAGTAAATTCAAAGATATATTTTTTGTGTTTGGTTATGATACATAATGTTGCAGTTTTAACAAGCTACTGCCATATTCGTAAATATTGCTTTTTCTATTTCAACAAGAGATTTGTATATATATATATTTATGTTCTAAAAGTATATATATATGATGTATTTTTATTATTTGATACTTTTAGTAGATCTTGTTGAATAACATTTAAATGAATGATTATCGCTATGGTAATCATATGATTAGTATCAGTGAAACAAATCATAATACCTTGAAGTAATATATACAGGTATTTCAGCCCGTTTTTAAAAACCATAAGTTTACATCAATATTTCTTGATTAATTATCATAAATAATTGCATACGGTTCACTGTACTATTAAAGTGTATACCCAATTAGGATATTCTGTTTACATTCTTATTTTCGTCATTTATTGTAATCTTGTGGGCGGGAATGTTGTATATGTAGGCTGTAGGTGTGGTATAAGAATTCATTATTGTATAGTATAGAGGAAATAATCTAGTTCCAAATGTATGTGAGTTGTTTCCCTTCATCGTACTCTGTACATACGTGTTTGTGATTTCTACAAATTGTAATTTGAAAAGCGAGTTCCTAATGTACTCTCATTTTTTTTAAAAATATTTTTTCTTTATTTTCTTCTATCAGTTAAAAGTTTCTGGCATCTGTTTCATGACGTATTTATCCGGCACCTGTGAAATTCAACAGGTGTAGTTATTGAGCTATTTCAGAAGTGCAATTTTTATTGACACATTTCAGGATGGTGGTCATTTTCTGGCCTCTCAGTCTATTACTTTTTTTTCAACTTTGCTCAAATGCAAAGTTCACATAAAACGTTGTGACTTGAGAATATGTATATTGAATTATATTGACCTGCAAGTGGAGGCTTCTGAAGGGACGAAATTTAGATATCGTCTTAATTTCCAGAAATTTACTTTTTATTTTAGTATGCAGTTGTTGTTGTATGACGTTAGGACCACAATGAAGGATTCCATATTCTTACATAACAAAACGGTCGTCGAGGGGACACTTCTGTTTAGTTGAAATTTAGAAATTGGTCGTTTTTGGATAAATTCGATATAAAGGTGTTGTTCAATATGATCTAGAGTTATTTCATTTTATTAAACTATATAGGTACCATGAACATTTTAAGATGTTATTGTGTACCGATAATTTGACAGTCGATGGAGGCCGAGAATGGTGTTATTTGACCTGACAAACACAACGATTTGCTGCCTTAGAAAGGCGGCTTACATAAAGTAAATTGCAAAACTCTGTAATTAGAAAAAAATGGTTTGTACTTGAAGGGATATTATTACACTACGAACACGCCCATTACCCGGTTGGCTACACATGTGAAGAGACGAATATCGTGATTTTTTCATATTTTCTTTTTGTTTCGGTTGAGACATATTTCATCAATACTGAGATCATAAGACTTTAACGATATCAAATGCACAGCGACATGTCAACGCGTCGGTCAAGAAAGGTTTACCGAGGGTTGTGACTGGACGTCCACGTGACCTGTACGAAATATGTATCTTTTAAACATAGACTTTCTACGACGATACTAATTTAGTTTAATTCTAAAAATGGGATCGAAAACAAATGAATGATTTTGAAAGAAGACACTTGTAGGGGGTACAAAATAAATCATTGCATCGAAATTTGATAGTGAAATGCCTCTTCTCCAGGTTAGGACTGTAAACATGAAATTCAAATACATGAATAAATAAATCAGTTTTTTTCAAAAAGACATTATCACGGTGGACGAGACCGGCTGTCGATGCGGAAGTTTTGACAGCTGTCTTCTGTTGGGACACAACATTGATATTGTAACGTGTGCGGGGTCTGCCCCGATACGATAAGTTTGGAAAAGGCTATTGGCTAACAGTCGCAGCCCGGAAAGTAGGATATCGACTGCCTTGGCGCAGCCCCTCTCTAGATACGGCAGGGTATGGCGGTCTTAGGCTCCAGCTTACAGCTGTGTAAAGTGGATCGGCCGATCCACGTACAAAAGAGAGTAGCCGTGCTTCCAACACGTGACCTGGTTGCCAGAGTTGAAGCCCACAGACCACCACACGACCGTCGTATTATACAGCAATACGCCGATTACTCTATCTTTATTAACTTTACAGCCCTGTCCAAACTTGTACAAAAAGACCTAACACTAACCTAATGCTTAATTATGTAAGAGGTGCATACGCATATAATTATAAAATAACTACACCTAAATTATACCTAAAGATTATCCAGAAATTAACAATTAACTATCTAAATGACAACATAACAAGGGAAATAACTCTTACCTATTATTAAAACATCAGAGACAAGGTGTACAGAGGCATAACGTTACAATATTAATTCATACCCTTTCACTCTGTGCCAGGACTGTGAAATGGAATTTTGGAAAAACAAAGTAATTGTTTTACGATGATACGATCACTGGAGGTCGAAATCGGATGTTGATGTAGAATTTTAAATGGTGTCCCTTGTAGGGAACGCTACATTGACAAAACTTCACCAGTTGTGATAAGGATTGACATGTTCCTTTACCCCGAGTCTTGACGGTGAAAGCAAACTTCGAGGAAACTGTCATTTTGAAAACTATGAATCGTCCCTGGAGGTCGTGAAAAGAAGCTGGTCCGAAATTGTCAAAAGATATCACTGGTAGTCTACACATAGATCATTTTCATCGAATTTAATTGTAGTTTCAATGACAATCACTGCCAGGGAAGTGGAAATGGAATATTGGGAAAAAATTCATTACAGAAAAAAATGGATTATAGTTTTCCAGCCGGTCGAACTCAGAAGACAAGACGAGATTACCGAAAGGTTAAAAACTTATATCAAGGAAATACCAACAAGGCAACATAATCACAATTCAAACTCAAATTCCATAAAATTAGGGCAAAATATGAACGAAAGAAAAAATAACACGGAGATTCCTGAAAAAAAGAAGGAGAACAAAACAAGGTGTTCCGGAAGAGTAAGCGTCATCAGTGACACCCGCCATGTCAACCTTGGTCATATTCAAGTAAGTAATGATGAGAACAAAGTATACAACAACACAACCAACAAACAAACAGGACTAAATATATCGAAACTGATTTCGGTTAAAATGCCTTATCATTCAGTGTCCTGTACAGATGGAATTTGAGTAAAAGTATTTCTAGACTAACATGGATCATAGGTTCCAAAGAAAAGGACACAGGACACACATACATGTGTCACGATCCATGGATGATATAGGGATCGTATATTTAATTATGTTTTTCATATTTATAATAATGTCATTATAGCATTGTATCTTCAAGAACTTTGTTGCTATTTACGCGTCCGTGTTAATAATTTGACACAAGTAAAATCAAATGAAACGAAATCAATATCCTTTGGAAGAGCTCATTTGATTTCAAAACATGACATCCATCCATTTCATCTTACAGAATAGAAATTCACAGAAGATAAGTGCCATAAAGCATTTCTATGGTCCAGTAAGGAACAGTCCACTACAATTTTGTTTTAAATTATATTTTCCGGGTTCCATTTACAGCATCCTTGCTTTTGGTTCTTTCGTTAAATTTCTTGCGGATATTATATATGTTAAACTTTTCCAGTTTTACTTTAAATTAAAGTAAAGGGTGCCCTACGATCCAAACCAATTAGATTCCGTCATTGAATCATTAATTAAGTGTTCTTTGTGAGTAAAGCACTGTATCATAGTTTTTAGTTGTCAGATCGAGGAATCATGATTGTTGGAA